TTCTTGTCTCTTTTCTTTTTCCTCCAACAACTGCTGTAATCTCTCTCTTGTTTCTTTTGCTGTTCTTATATTGCTGCAAGTTGTAGTTTGATTTGCCATTTCTCGTTTCCATCTTTTTTTTCTCTTTTACGCCCCACTCTTTGACACCAATTTGTTACATATCTGCTTGTTTGTTAATTTCCGGTAGAAATTCTTTCCGAGGAACTTCAGCGATACACGTCCTTTCTTGATTAAACCAGTTTGTTCTTTCTCGATACAAACTTGTAATACACAGTAATTCCACAGTCAGTACATTTCTTGTCACTTTAAACTTAAATCACAGCAATTCACAATCTCGATAACTTTGGTCTCTACGAGTGCAAACCACACACTAGCTCGAAACAGAATCGTAAATTACCCGAAACTCATCGTAAGTAGTGTTCGCTACCCCCCCCCCCCGCGGGTTTTTCTGTGCCAAACTTATATGCTAACAAAGAGGCATCAACATCATTCGCGGAGTTCCCCAATTATTCGAGAAATTCACCACGCATGCTCTCTGTGTCATGTGACTTCTGCTGTCGTAACAATATAAATATAATGTCCCGATTGAAAGTTTTATGATTGCAAGCTGAAACAGGAACAAAATGTGGAAACTTTGCAGGGGTGAATACTTTAGTAAGGCACTGTACATTGATAGAAATGTTCATATTCCAAACAATTTGCTTAGATATTATAGATAGGTTTATCCATTAGTATCAACATAAACAAATTAACAAAATATATTTCACAAGCTCATGATGGTCTATGATTTTACCAATAATGTCCGGCCTAGTGGATATAAATTACTGTCCAGAAACTTTTTCACTTCAAGTGAAAATGAAAAAGTAGAATTTTAACTATTATTTGAGCATTTTGTGATATAATTGTAAATCTTTGCCTGTACTCACGGTGTTTGAAGTGTATTGAAAATTTAAAAAACCTTAGTTAAAAGTTCCACACAAAGAGTGAATTGCTGTGTGTCTGGTTTTTCTTTCTAGAATTCCGGAAAATTCGTTCGTTTCGTTTTTTCGCTGACGTCAGGCACGCCACTTTTTGAGTAAGAAGGAGAAACTAAATTCAATTACCTGATCATAAGTGATGTAACCATGGAAATGTTTAAGATTAAGTCTGAACCATTTGTAAATGAGGAAAATGCTTTGTCGGATATAAAGCCGGTGAAAATTGAAGAAGGAACGTTTTATTTATCTAATAGTAAGTTAACATCTTCAAAATTTAAATATATTGTTTTATTGCTCATATTTTTTCTCCTTCAATTTTGATGACCATGTGATTGTTACTTCCTTTTTTTTTAACTTTATGTTTGAATTTAATGTAGCTACATTTTGATAATTTAATACAGAATGAATTAATATTCGATTAATTTCATTTCCGCTCCTATAAATTCTTAACACTATCAGTAAAGCAGGATATTTCCCTTTGATGTTTTGTGTAGGAATGGCAAGCCTTAAACCAGTGGCATCTCGGTTAAAATAACTTAAAATTAAATCCTGTTCTGCATCACGTGTAATTGTGAGTGAGATCACACTTAAACTCAAAAAGCTGAGACCAGTAAGCTAAATGGGTGCTCTACCAACTTAGAATGTTAGATACCTTATATTGTTAATAGTTACAAGTTATAACTACCATAAGCGCTTGTACTAGTACTAGTTCATTTTTTTACCAACACATGTTTTATATAACAGTCGTAATTTCAAAAGATATTTTTTTGCTTTTTTTACTTTTTATATAAAAACATAAAATCTTTACCTTAAAGTTCACGTCTTTCATATAAACATTTTGATATACTGTATTTTTATTCTTATTATTTACATGAGCAAGAAAAAAGTAAAAGTCAAAGTTGTAATATTAAATGTGTTTTTCAACAACCAGAAATGAAATGACAAAAAAGAATATATGTGTTGAATGTTGATAATATATAACATATATATATATATATATATATGTGATAATATATACTTGATTTATTACATTTAACATAAGTATGATAAACCTTGTAATAATAATGAATTTATCTTCTTAGAAATAAAACTTAAACATTGTATCTTATTTCCTAGGGTTAGATATAATTTTTTGTGTACTCATTCTGAGTGATAATAGATACCTTCTATAAATTGTGCTTCAACTTCAAGCCTGTAGAAATAGATACTGGTCTCTTGATGTCATTTTCCTCATGACAGGAATATCAAAGAAAACACATGAAAGATGTAATGTGAACACAACCCACAACTCTTACACCAGACTTTATCTGACAAAACTATGGTGAAATCGATAGAATGTAATTAGCAGAACATTCTGTCCACAAGAAAACTTCACTAGTTCATACCTTGACTGTATTTTTGTTCATAACAGTGTATACTATTCCTTACAGACCCAGTTATCAAACAGCCTGTCTTAGCAAAAATTCCTTACCAAATTCTAGTAAACACCAAAGTAAATTAATGAGTATAAGATTATCTGTAGATAGCAAGGGGCCATTTGGTTGTTGAAGATAATCTTCAGACAGTTGCTGTTCATTCAGAAGACCTCACTTCTGTATAGTGAAGTTCAGAAACAGATCTTTCTGTTTGGTATTTGTGGTAAGATATAAAGCAGTACATGTGTATTCTTTAGGCATTTTTAATTCCCTCTGGCAGATTTTGCCATTTCTTTTGTCAAGTTGCATCCATCCAACTTGTTCAAACTTGGCAAGAAAAATATTGGAGGGTTTGGATAAGGGGTGCTGAAATTAAAATGCCTTCTCTGTTTTGATGTTTATGCAAAACCAAAATTGGTACATGAAACTTTTTAATTGGCTAATTGACAGAGAACCAACAAATAGCGAAGCAAATAAAGCTGCAAAATATCAAATTTTTTTTATTAAGTCTTAAGTTTTGTTAAGCAATGTTTTTCTCATTCCTTTTTTTCTTTTGCTAGTGCTGAAATTAAAATGCCTTCTCTGTTTTGATGTTTATGTAAAACCAAAATTGGTACATGAGACTTTTTAATTAGCTAATTGACAGAGAGCCAACAAATAACAAAGCAACTAAAGCTGCAAAATATCAATTTTTTTTATTAAGTCTTAAGGTTTGTTAAGCAATTTTTTTCTCATTCAATTTTTTTTCTTTTTGCATGTTGCCTATCTAACATACAAAGTAATTTTCATTTTAAGATTAAAACTACTTTTGTGCATGAAAAAATTTTAAAATTTCAAATGCAAAATCTTTATAATGTCCAGATAGTTATCAAACAATTTGACCAGTCTTGTAACCACATCAGAAAAATCAGGGAATAAATATATATTATTTCTTTTTTTATTCTAGAATGACTACATATTATGACATGAAAACATAAATGTTTAGACAAAATAGCTTAAGTCTTATAACATGATACATTTATATATATTTAATATTTTTATTGTATTGACCTTTCAGCCATGCCTGATGAACAGTATGGAAGTTGGAATGATGTGGCACACATGCACTTGTGTTATGGTATTTGATGATATAAAAGTGACCTGTTTTATATGTATCTTAGTAGACTAGTATTTTGTAAAATACACTCGCATTTACATTATTATACATTATATGTGTATATAGATTATTACTATTTACAAATAACTTCTTAAACTTATTTTTCTTAAAACATAGAATAATAACTAACGAAGTAAAGTAAATAATTATCTCTTCTAGTTCTGATGTTTGTACTCAGTTGCTGCATGACGTAGGTTGCTAAGCCTTTCAAAATTTTGCATGTGGAGAATATGAAACGCAATAATATTTTTAGGTTTTATATATACAGTTGGATAACCAAAAAGCCATAAGTTACTATATCAGTACAATAGCATTCCACTATAATTGATTAAGCTTAGTAACTAAGCTGTATTTCAGTCTAAAAAAATATGAAAATTTGAGCAGATTAAAGACACAAACTACTTACTTGAAATCTTGGTTCGAAAGAAAGAGATGGTGCCCAAACATGTTAAAATGGCTGAGAAAGCCACTAGGGGGACATTCTGAGCTTTTGATTGATTATTCATGTCTTATATAGAAGTAAGTATATGCAAGGGAGCATTTCCAAAAATGGAAAGAGGTGGGAGGGGTGCCATTGTGTTTGATTTATTACATGAGCAATATTTTAGCAAATTGAAAAGATAAGAGGCTCTTATTTTATGTTCTAGCTTGTCAATATTGGTAATTTATGTTCCTAATTTGTATGAAACTATAGACTTAGTATTTTAACATCACAAACATCTAATTTGAACCAGTGCTGCATTCAACATACCATGTGACACAGAAAAATCAATGTTTAACTGTTTTTTATTATTTACTTTTAAATATAAAAATTGAGTAACATATAATACAAAAATTTCAATTATAACCTACAGTTTGATACCAAAATTATTGACATAAATTCATAAAATAGTAGTTCAGTAAAATTTTGAATGCAAATCAATGAAGACGATGACATGAACTTTCACCCATGACCCGTTTGGAAAGGGTTAATGGAAGTGTTTAATTTTTAGAACATCATTCACCAATGAATGTTTGGTACTTGATGATGACAAAACCTTGTACATTTGCTGTTAAACTTATATTAAAGTTTTTCTTCATAACCCATTCAAACTGTCTCCAAGCATTATTATACTTAGCTTAAGTTGCCAACTACCAACAACATTTACAAACATTACCTTGACACCAATTATATAAAAATAAAAATATCTATATGCCATGGTAATCAATACTGAATATGCACTCATGATTTCAGTTATGTATAAGAAACAGTAGGAAGAATCTCCACTGTCATCTGAGTAGGGAGATCTATTATGGTAATCATCTACTGTTAAAAATTGCTGAAATATAGTTACAGTAATCCATGTAGAGACACCAAACTCGAGTAATGATGAACAATAGTGACTCGAGTAATGATATGCAACAGCAAAATTGGGAATCTTTCACGTGGCAGTTTCCAATTAATGTGCTAAAAATGTACAGATTGTAGTTTCCAAGTAACGAGCATGCTAGGAAAACACCAGATTTTTTTATGGTGGAAACTGAAGTACCTAGAAAATTTTGTAGGATGATGAAATTAAAGAGATCAAATTTAGAGAAAATGTACTCTCAGGTTTTTTCAAAATTCCTGTATGATCCCATACTACAGCAGTTATCACTTGCAATAATTTTATAGTGGAGTCATAATATGAGGTAGGTCAATTTGACAGATCTTCATAACTACCAGAAAAAATATGAAATAAATTTAATTTCTCTCTAGAATGACTTCAAATTGTAACATAAGACTATGTTTTTTTAATCAAAATAGCTTTAACAGTATAAATCTATTCAGACATAAATTTTATTGGTTTTATTTGCTATTTGAACTATGTGTAACTGATATTTGCTTCATATAAATTGTAAGTTACATGGCAAACATGCAACTCACTTATGGTATTGTATTATATAATGCACGGAACACTTGAGAGCTGCTTGTGACTGTACCTTGTAAACAGTTAGTAATATTATTTTCTATTTTATATTATTTAATCTAAAATGTTTTAAGTTTTTACATTTTAGTTACTTCTATAATAACAAATAAAGAATACACATGAAAAACAAGAAATAAAGTATTCACCTATGTCTTCTTTTTATACTAATAGTAATAATGCACAAAATAATTTTTTATTTAATTAAATAATGCACCAAAGAACATGGAATAATTGCAAGAAAAAGCAGAAAATGTTTGATAACTATCACAAATTTTCTTGCTTTCTAAGTATGTGACAAGTGCTGTTACAAATTCAGCTAAACTCCTGTGGGAACAAAGTTTGAACTGAAAGCATGATTGAGAAAACAACATAATATCCATCATTTGATAGATTAAAATCTTTGCTTTCCCTTGGTTATAAATAATATACAGGACTTACGGTTAACTTTTTTTTAGGGAGCCAGCTAGGCCCCAAAGCGTGTGTTTTTAGGGGCCCACAAGCAGTTTTAGGGGGCCAGTGACAATGTACTCTGTAGTGGAGGTTATCAGAAAAATCACTGAATTAAATAGCAGATGTTGCATAAATTAAAAGGAAATGAAATATATCAACAATCAACATATCTCAATTTATTTTGTTGTGAACTTGTATTTTATGCAAAAACAAGTCGAAACATTTCATTTTTTAAGACCACTTAATTGATATTTATTTAATATATGATCGTTAATTTCTTGCTGAAGCATGTTAGAACAGTAAGATTTTGTTCTCTCTTAAAGTAGTTTCCTTAATAATCAAAATAAATAATGAAAGGAAATCTTCACATCACTGTTTGTGTAATCTGCTCTTGTTCCCGTGTAACCCATTACCATCTAAATTGGAAAATCATACAATTTACATTACCATTAACATTTTAGCAACAAGTTCTTTCATATCTTGAAACAGATGTTAATTAGTCGTTCATGAATTTGAATTTGTAATAAGCAAAATCCTCAAACTAGCAACATATGGAAAACATGCAAATAGCTCTAAAATGTCTGAAGTGGTGTTAATGAAAAATTAAACTTAAATTAGTGTCCTCCATGCACTCTAGCTTTCTTGTGATCCTCTCCGGAGGTTGATGTTGTGTAGGGGGAATGTAGTCCCTAGACACTCCACCTCAGTAAGGTTCACTCCCAGAGGCTAATGTTGTGCAGAGTGGAACCAGTCCAATTGCTTTTGAAGTGAACTACCACAATAGCATTTCCCTTCCTAATGTTGCTCTGATGATGGGTTCCCAGGTTGCTGGTTTAGGTTGTGAATTTGCAAATGTGCCCTGTATATTTAACTGGTACAGAATTTTCTTCTTCCGTTCTACTCAACTTGAGGTGAAGATGTATGACCAATGCTGCTTGGTTTTGGACGGGAGTTGATCTACCAAGTATAGTCTGTTGTACCTTGGTCATTGTACACCAAGGGGCACATCCATTTTAGCTTTCCTCGCCATCTGGTCTGTGGCAGGGGAACCTAAATTGATTATTCTCCAGAATTACAATTTCAGACATTTTAGTGGGATGTGGGAATGGACCACCCCATATTTTTTCTCTTGTTTATTGGATGTGCTCCGTACATTTTCCACTTGTTTCTGCGACACTTACTATCACACTTGGTGAAGAGTATATCTGGTGCAGAAATGGTGTGGTATCCCACATGTTCTTTTCCCAACAGGGATTCACACTCAATGGGTGTTCTTAGGATGCTTATCTATATCCCTCATACTGGTCCTCATAAATTTTTTATTAACATGTCATCATCCCTATTTTATCCACCATGTAGATTACTCTCTATAAAATCATTATTGCTCAGACAAACCATAATTTTTATAGTCTTCAATTTTGTTTGGTTATAGAGCTATTGAATAGGAAATCAGACCCCCTCCTGCTACACTTACCTGTTACATCCTCTCTTTCACAATTTGTTGATAGTTCTCTCTTACATTTCATTATATATTACTATAACAAATAGACAGTCAACTTTTTCATCTATCAAATGACGTATTGTATAACGTTATATTCTGAACAGAATATCATCAGTTTCACTCACAGTACAAGATTCATTCTTGTTAGAAAGTTAACGACTAGCTTGGATGAACTTGAATAATGATAATAATATAATTAAAATGGTTCACGAGGCACACACACGAGCAGCTCGTAGTAGTTTGTGGGTAATGTAATTCAACATCATAATGTGATCTGCATGTTCCCCAAGTGATTTGCAATTAATAATGCCACAAATAGTAGTTACACATGGTCCAAAGGGCAATAAAACAATGAAATTGTATTATAAATAGACTATACTGTTACGAGTTTAAAGCTACTTAGGATAAACAATTGTAGTTTTATGATACAATTTTAAGGGTAATTTAGGTTTATTTCGATTATGTTTTTGGTGGTTATTAGGTCGGTTGAATTAACCGATCCTGTTTTGAGATAGGGTAGAGAAAATAACAGATAAACTACAAAGTTTGACAAAAAAAAAAACGTTTGAAATGCATTTAGAAGTTTTTGGGGATTACACAAAGAAAATTTGAGATTTTTGAGATAAAGAAATGTATTTTTAACTTTAACATTTAAATAACTTTGTACAGGGACTATTTGAAACAAATACTCAATATATTCATGGACAAATCTATATTTTAGTTTACTAGAAATACTTCACTAAAATATGATTTTTTTGTATGTGAAAGACTTGTAATATTAACTGAATAACTACCAAATTCTGTGAAGATATACCCATTATATTGGGAGTTATTGGTATTAACTCTATAAAAACTTTAAATGAGTACAAAAAGGTCACGTGGTTGGTCAAATTGACCGAGTCCGTATTGAGAGAGTTAACATGCAACTCTAATAAAAAAACACCAGCATTAGGTCACTTGTGGTGAAATAATTTTTTTTTTACCCAGCATTGGTTATTATGGAAAATAAGCTTAAAAGTAAGGAAGCAACTTATAGAATTGAGAAGTAGTATTTTCATTATATCTGTAATTACAACTAATGTGAAAGGTTAGTTGTAGTCTTCCTTATAAAGATTTCATAAGAAATAATATTCAAGTTGGAATTGGTACAAAAACAGCAGCATGACAGTAAAAGTTGTTACAAAAGAAAAACTGCATTACGAGTATATTATCCTGAACTTAAATATATTGTTACGTCTCCGTTTGTTAATCAACTTCCCGTAACTTCTTTTCGACAAAACTTTAG